GGAATAACAAGGAATAACGGCCACAAGTTGTTGGAGAGTAGGTTTAGATTAGACATCCGTAAGAACTGCTTCACAGTTAGGGCGGTTAGGATCTGGAACCAACTTCCAAAGGAAGTGGTGCTGGCTCCTACCCTGGGGGTCTTTAAGAGGAGGCTTGATGCCTACCTGATGGGAGTCATCTGAGCAGTTTTTCTCCTACTCAGGCGGGGGTTGGACTTGAAGATCTACAAGGTCCCTTCCGACCCTACTTCTATGATTCAATTTTATGCCCCCTGACCCCTCCCTTCCCACCCCCAGAGAAACAAACGCCCCCCTCCCCCTGCAAGCCTACACCCCCATCCATCCTGCCCCTCCTCTCACTAAGACTTACTTCTTCACCTACCAGCTTAGGTGAATACTGATAAAATTGGTACTGAGAGCAACTTGTGGGATGGGAGGTTTGGGGGACTGGGGGCCGGCTGGTTCATGGCACGAGGGGAAACAGGGTTGTCCACCTTGGGGATGAGGTGAGGGGCCAGAGGGCTAAAAATATCCTGGTGACAGGGAGGTGGTAGGAAAAAGCACAGCCCCAGGGCTGGGGCTAGTGGCTGGGCTTTCCCAGCCCTGGGAGCTATACATAAGTTTAGGACAGTTATATTGATCTTAAAAAAAAAGAGAAAAGAAAAGGAGACCAACCCAATAACTCAGACCACCTTGGAAGCAGGGTTAACTCTGATCATGTCAGCCATTTTTAGACAGATCTAACCTTCCTGAAACTTCTGTACAGCTTGAACTCAGATCAACCCATATGTAAGGACTGCATCTGGGCAAAACAAGTTAGATTGGGTGCCCATTTTTAAGGGTGATCTGTCTGCACCCAAACTGAGTGAGCGAGCACCTACCTACCACTAACAAGTAAAGCTTTTTTGGAAAACAAAAACAAAAAAAAAAAAACCCACACCAACAAAAAACACCAAGTTAGCCATCCTTTTAACTTCTTTGTTGCAGGTGCATCCATCTACTAATATGACAAGCAGCAGGCAGTTTCAAGATAGCATTTCAGCTTAGCTTCCTGGTGCTGGTACACTTTAATAGCTCTCTGCAGGATCTTTGCCACCACCGTTGGCTCTTCCAAGGATGCAGCTCAACAGATCTATGACCAGAGGGATGCTGACTGGGCCAGAGAATCCCAGAAGCAGATGGAAGGAAGGAGGATGGAAGGGGACAGAGAACAGAACTGTCAAGTTGCAGTGTTTGGGTTTTTTTTACAAATTGAAACAAAAGGTGCTCTGGAGCTGCTGTCTTGTGACTTCTGGCATATTTATAGGTCAAGACGAGACCAATATTTTATGAACTGGGGAAACAGAGGAGAGAAAAACTGGCTTAGCCTTTGTCCTGTGAAAATGAATATATGGGAATTACATTCTCTCACCTGCCCCTCAACTTTCTCCATTACACTAACACCAAACTCACTCTCAGTCTGAGAAACATTCACAGAAGAGCAAAGTGTCATTAATCCTGCATGTTGGGAAGAGGTTTCAAGAGAGCAACCACTCTGCATCCAAATGAAAATACCACAGCATGATGCCAATTATATACTTTGTGACCGCATCTGGGGACAAAGAGGACAAAATACCTACACATTTTAGACGGAGGAAAAGTCAAGGGTTTTGTTTTTGTTTTTTTAGTTTAGAGCAGGAACAAAGACAAATAGCAGCAAATGAATAAGGACACCACTTTTGTTAGACCTGACAAAATATCGAGGTGATCATCTATTTACTTCCTAGAACACTGGGCCAATCTGTTTACACAGAACTATAGTCTTAGCACAGGGGAAAGCTAAAACAAAATTAACTTAGTATGCTGTCCTTCCATATTTACTGATTTTTGCTGCTGAACCCATTGTTTTTGATCTCTAGATTTTTTTAAAGCTTCCTGTCTACAGCTTTACAATGCTGTCAAAATTATTGCCAATCCAAAAAACAAAAATCAAATCACTTGCTAGCAAACTGAGCAAATTAATGGTAGTTCATGACAACCTTGGATGTGGCTTCCCTAGTCAACTACCATTATGCTCTCTGGCTGGCAAACATCTCTCTACTGTACCTGCTGACTCTGAATCACTGTAATAAGGCAAAAGTATTTGCCCCTTACGGCAGCAGACCTCATATTGCAATACAGCCTTTGGGAAACAGATTTTTTTAAAAAAAAAAAAAAAGAAAGAAAGAAAGAAAGAGTCAGTCATGCTTCAGGCAGTAATACTTCTGGCTGATTACTGATTAAATCCTAGTCAATAATTCATGCAGTGTCCAATATTCTCTCTGCTCCCCAGACAGAACCAGAACCTCCTAGCAGCACTTTGTACCATAAAAGGCATCCTCACCAAGGGTGATTGACCTAGGGTCCATCCTCACCAAGTATTTCTGGGGGTAAGATACCAAAACAGAAAACACAAAACTAGAGAAAAGATGCCCTATTGTTACAGGCAAACCCTTTTAATTAGTGCATAGTGAGGAAGACAGACAATATATAGCCCCTATATCTATTTCTTGCTGGAAGCAAGATAAACATTCTACTTGTGCATTTACTTGTGGGGAAAAAAAAAGAAGAAAATTAAAAAAAAATAAAATAAAAAATGATCTACATTTTCCTCATTCTTCACTGCAGACAGAGGATCTCACTTTCTTTTCACCATGTCAAACAGATCTGCTGGCAGTTTTCTGATGCTGATATAAAACTGCCCTTGTTGCAGTTGCACAAGCCTGGTTGTTAATTATTGCTGTTGGACTACCAGGTCCCTTTCCTCACAGCTGAAGGGCAAAGTTGGGGTGGATAAACAGTGCTACTCAAGGCTACTTGCAAGACCCTCATTTCTTTTATGCTGTTCCTTCGGTGTAGGGGAAAAACTGGGGGTAACATACCAGACTTCCTCCCAAATGATTCTCACCCACACCTCTATGGCATTAAAGAGAAATTGTTATTTTAGCTACAGAAAGGAGGGGCTTACTTTTAACCACTGCATGTTAATCATGAACATTTGTTCCCTAAGTACAGGAAAATAAGCAACCTTATTTAAAAATGAGGAAATGAGGTAAGGAAACAAGGAATTAAGGGAAAACAAAAACAACCAAAAAAACAAAAAACAAAAAACGTTCTAACGACAACAACATGCTACAGTGGAAAATGAAACTGTACACTGAAAACACTGAGAAAGTTTGTGTAAGGATTAATTTATCTACAGGTTTTTAATACAGCATTTAAAAATCGGCATAGTAGAAGTAGCTTTCAGTCCTGCATCAAGCAACATGATTAACTTGGAACAGCCACATACCTGAATCACAAATCCAGCTTTTCATAGACTGTATAAACATTAGGGCTGGAAGGGACCTCATAAGATTACTGGGTCCAGCCCCCTGCCCCAGGGGCAGGAAATCAGTTAGGGTCAAAGGATCCCAGCAAGATAAGCATCCAAGTGTTTCTTTTAAAACATGGTAGTAGTTTATGCCACCAATACCAATACATAGATACAAGATTGGATCTCAGCAAGATGCTTAGCAATAACCTGTTAAATTAACATTTTAAAGCATGCATTAACATTTTAAATCAATATTTTTGGGTAAAGATGAAAAAAACCCTCAGTGTCAGCAAATGTATGCAGCTACAGACTTACCTGTACTACAGCAGGTCTCTGAACAGTAGAGGTCACAGAATTTGTGGTTTGCAATACTGTTTTCACAGGAGTTGCTATGACTTTTTTTAGTAACTGGGAGCCAGGATTCTTTAAAAGTAAAAAGAATGTGTAAAATATAGAATACACAGAATAGCACGTCAACAAATCAATGAAATCGCAAACATTTCAGGAAATTAACATTTAAATCTCATCCATTGTAATATTTAAAGTTAATTAAACTAAACATATATGACTTTAGCATGAATACTGAATGCTAAATAAATCTATTTCACCTCGTCAGCATTACAAAAGACAAGACAAGAAAGCCAATAAACACAGTATAGGCATGTCTCCCTGTCTGTATAGCAAGTGTCAAATGGTATGTTATGAATATACTGGTTCCTCCTATTTTTACTTGTATTATTAGAGGTATTTCGAACCATTTGATAATTCAACCAAGATTATACCCCTGGCAACAATGGGTGGACCCAGAAAGTTTGGAAACTACTGTAATTAGAAAGTCCCAGTGATCTTTCCAGGACAGTTTTTCAGGTTAGAATAGTGTTTAAAAGAAAATGGGCCGGTTGTTAGGAGATGCTAATTTTTATTGTTCTAAAGGTCATCTCACTGTGAGCTATGCGTTGCAGATCAAGAAGAGCATTTTAAACTATAAAAGCAAAATATAGTGACATTCAGTGTTATGAAAAACATCAAAATACAACCGTGACATTCAGTCCATGTCCACCAAGATTTCAAATGAGGTTTAATGAATTCCTCATTACAAAAGTATGCACACTGAATATATCACATTAAAAGAAATATAGTAAAGTACAGATGCTTCAAAATGAGGCTGTCTGAAGAAGTTACCTGTACAGTACATATTCTGACTGCAGGTGTGCTTGTAGGTATTGATGGTCTTGCACTTGTATTATTTTGCGTCTGGCTCTGTGCTCGAGCTATTGCTTGTTGAGATACTAACATCAGCTGACCATTGCTACTTCTGATGAGAACTGTTCCTGTTGACAAGAATAATGAACACATGATTAAGAAGAGGAACTGCATTAAGAAGTACTTAGAAGAATATTTAAGCAGTTTAAGGAATATTAGAGGTTTAAGGAACTTTCCTAATGCATACTAAGATTGTGTATCCTCCTGCCTGGCTGAAAAATGAAGAGAGTTAAAAATGCACAAGAGCTAAGCTTCCAACACTAATATTTACTTGTCTGTCCTGCCACGTGCCACAAGTTTTGCACTTTGTATACAGCCAACTCACCAAATGCAAAATTCAATGCAGTTTAGACAAATATCACTATTTAGCTATATATGCAATACAGTATAGCTCAACATAGAGTTAAGCTTCCAAGAGTATTTGAGTTGTTAAAGAAAGGACCAGAATTAGTTGGGTGGCAGTAGGTTAAAACTCTTTTTTATGCAGATAATGCAGCTTCCAAATCTACCGAGCATTTTCCGATCTTAAAATAAACCAACAAGTGCTGCTTTTTTTTAAGGACCAAACATATCCTTCAGTTCACCTGTATTGAAGTGAGGACCTACTGATTAGATGATGTTTATAAATGGATATTACACACTATAAAAGCAGAGTATTCAATGTTAATAAAAAAAAGTCTTATACCCATTCCAAAATTAGATGGCAAGGGTCCACAGTGAAAGCCAAGTCAAGTTAGAAATTCTGAGAGCTTCAACAAGATTGCAATTCTCAGACTGGCTCAAGAGGTGTTTGAACAGGCAGCTTTAAACTTCCTTTCCCTCCCTCCCTTTCTTCCTCTTTTCCTTTACCTGCAGCAACTCCCACTAGCCAAACTGAGCATGTTTTACTCCAACTCCTGTCCCCATTCCAGTGGTTTTCAGAGATGAAGTAGTACTTAACTCGCAACATACTATTATTGAGATTTAATGTATTAACGTTCCAGAAATCAAACTCAATTTCAGGCTGTCTGTAGATTTGGAGGGGGGCTAGGGGGGGAAGTCACAACATCTGTTATGTTCTATTCACATTTGGAAGGCTTGCTCTGAAAACCAAGACTATAAATGTCATCTTTCTTTAAAAAGATAAGATATTTGGAATATCCAGAATCTAATATGGGCTACTTTTGTAACTACAAAATGCAGACTGGATTCAGTCTGCAGGCCACATTTAATAGCACTGGTCCAAACTGCTTTCAGTTTTTTGAAGCAGGTATAAACTTCTCCCCTGGCTTTCCTGTATCAAAGTCATTGTCATTTATTCAACAAGATAGCTGCCTTTGGTGGTGCCTATAGCCAATGCACATATACATACTACTCCCATCAAGATTTCTGAGACCTATTCAATGATGGACTTGTATGTACAAGGAAGGAACACTACAAGATGATGTATTTTCAACCAGAGTCCCCAGTGATGCAACCCCTTTTTTTTTTTTATATATATATTATTTTTTTTTATATATGGGTGGGGAGGGGATGGTGCAGAAAATGAGACTGACATGCGTTGAGCCACTGATACACCTGCTACCAACACAGCGCCAGGCATTTTTAATTAGTGTGGCTCACTAATTAAAAGTGCCCAGCACTGTGTTGGAAACGCCTGTAAAAATACCTTAAGTGTCACAAAAACCCTTTGCTCTTTAGCTAATGCGCATTAAAAAAAAAAATTGGTTAACGTGCATTGTTGTAGCACTTCACAATGGAAGTACTAAAGTTAATGCATATTGCCTAAAGCTCATTACTGACCATGTAGACATGCCCAAGTAGTTCCGTTTTGAGTTGCAATGCAGTAGCCCAAAGTCATATACGTAAACCTTATAAAACTATACAAAACTGCAAGTCAACTCTTACAACAAAATAAAATAAATTTCAAGTGAGTTTGTATAGTCTTGGCGATGGTACTCAAAAGCAAGCATGAAAAACTTTCTGAAAATGCTGCCAAGTCCAAAGGCTCTATAAAAGCAAGCAGAAGATCTACCAAAGAATATTCAACCTTTAAATTTCACAATGAAAGTAGTCTTTTTCTACACAAAGTTTTAAATTTCTCATTTTCAGCCAGCACCCAGGGTTATTTCTCTAAAAACCAGCATACTGGGTGGTCTAATTATGATAAAAGGAAGTAGCTCACTACTACCCAGACTCAAGCAGAAGCCCCTGACAAATGTTAAAATAATGGCGTGATTAGGATCTGAGGACTTGTATAGTTTTTTGGATGGGACACATCCTACCATCCAGACCTGTGCCTGATCCCAGGCAAGGGATAGCGGTCCCGAGCTTACCTGAGCATCAGAATGAAGCATGGAGCAGCCCCAACTTCCAGTTCAGGACATGGTGCCAGCCCCTGCCCAATTAAAGAGACTGGGCAGGGGAAGCAGCTATGTCCTGATTCCTGGAAGAGTCCCATTCCCATCCTAAGGATTAGATCAGTGGAGTGGGGCACGTGTGCATCCCAGACTTGGGGCCGCCAATGCCACACACAATTTAATGTTCCAAATACCAATGAACCAAAGATACTCCACATTAAACATAGTATCTCTCTGTGGCTGGTTTGTCATTTTATTACACCGTAATTTGGCTGAATGTATGGCATGTTAACATGTCAACCGTGCCATAAATGGTAATTACGTAATAAATGTGGCATCTGACAGGACCCTAACACAGAACAATTCAAAGTTTTATGTGCAAGGGTAGATAACTACACAGAGATCTGGGCTACATTTGACAATTTAAAATTAAAAATTAAGGTAAACTTACAAACAAGTTCCTACGCAGAAAGAAAAATGCAAGACCTTAGCTTTTACTTCAAGTACTTTTGTAAATCATGCCAAAACTGAATGCCTAGAATTAATCTTTTATTCACTACGTTTAATATGTGAGATGATTATAACTGTTTTGTGAAAACATCCAGAGTATTTTGGGAGGGAGATTGTGCTTTTGTAGGGAATGCTGAATATTCAAACTAAATATCTGCCAACTGGTGGCTCTGGAATAAATTCCCTTCCCTAAGGTGTCCTTTAAATGATAAGGACAGATTCACAGCACAGTTGCATAGCAGGAAATAATGTTAAAGTAACCCTTCTGCCAAGTCAGCTTTCTACCTACTCTGTTATAACTGCAGTTGAGCTTTCTTTTGCATTTGTATTTCATTTTGTTTAGCCTCAAATAGATCTTTTAAGTTAATGAATCCCTGGAAATCACAGCAAGTGTGCCAAGCTTTCAACATTATACGTACCATGTTTTATTTTGCTAGTGAAGCACAGCATTATAGCCTACTATGCAGTCAAAATGTGTTATTCTTTAACAATTCAAATCACTCAGTGGCAAATTCTAGTGAAGAAAAGAGTTGATTATGACACCATGCATTTGGTACTTACAGTACGTTCTTCTGAAGTAATTTTGTATCCAAACAGCAACCAATGGATAATTAGAGCACATCACCTCCTTTGTCCTATATTTCTTAGTTCTACTTAAGAAACTGAAAGATGTTTATAAATACTCAGTATTTTCCATCTCCCAAATTCCCATTGCCCATTTTGGGATGCGTACTACACAAAGACTAAGTTCATTTAGGCTCTTCTGCCAATTGATAATATTTCCATGTACATGTGAAGATTCATCTGCACAGCTATCCTGGAGTGGTTCCATTTTAGATCACACTAGTCACAAAGATTTCGCATAACATCACTGGATATATAATACAATTATATATATTTAATGGATGTAACAATGAGAAGCATTGGCAGTAGGGGTGCACAGATGGAGATTTTGGGGGGCGATACCAGCGACCGATTTAAGGAGCTATATCAACCGATACCAATCCAATTCTGATATGCAGCCGGGTAGCTTGGAGACCAGTGTCGGACTGGTAAGTCTGGTGTGGGGGGAAGGGAAGGGAAGGGGCAGGCACTGCTCAGCCAGAGCAGGGCAGAACACTGGACAGAGCTGCAAACAGCTCATTCAGGGGGCAGCTCCTACCTTGCACACATCCTGGGAAGGCATGGGGGGGGGTGTGCAGCCACCCCAAAATTCACCATAGCACCCCGCTCTCCCCACCTCCAAAATGCAGTGCAGCCCAGCCTAGCCCCTGCTGGGAAGTGCCCTCCCCAGGAAACCTGACATTTCAGTTCTAACCTTCAGAGGAAAAACAAATCTCCAATGCAGCTCTAAGAAACAGAAAACACTGTCCTAGAGGCTTGGTA